TCAGTTGCATTAGTCAAACCAACGGCCTTATTCTCAGTATTATGATCACACAACCAATGCAATAGTTCAAGAAAGTTTCCTTTGCTGTTTGAATCTTCAGATTCATCATGTCCACGAAAAGTCATACCTTGTCGTAGAAGAAATCGAAAATAATCAATTGACGCATTTAATCGAATTCTATAATCTGTTCGAGCTTGATTTGATTGCTTAACGAGAAATGATTGAATACTTTGCTCTTGATTCTTGAACGATTCATATTTGACCCGAGCCTAATTGTGTACACTACTTGAAGTCCCAACATGTTTTCTTAGGCATTCTTTCTTTTTTCAATTTGAGAATCCATCATTAAGAAAGGAACCACCACTCGAACTGAAAAGATAGCAGTAAAAACAAAAAATCGCATCTTTCGCTACACTATATTCCAACTAGGTAAGATGCTCATCATACCACAAAATACAAAATCTCCTATCTTTGTTACCCATTCTTGTGGGTGGAAAAACGTGATTGCGAGACTGAAAAGGACCCATTTGTACATATGCTCTTCGAATCACGTCTCGATAACTAGTATCATAATTTTGTATTAGAATTTTCAATCCAGAATCGGCGATACGATGTACAACACGACTCATCCCACATCCCCAACACCAACACACCAACACCAATATCATTTTTATCACTCTTGTCTCGAACATTCATCTCATCGGCATTTTGCTCATCACAAGAAAACATAGATTTACGTTTCAAGTATTTGTCCATAAATGAAACAAATAAAAAATCAATCACATTAGAAGTCCCTAAGTCAGTTTAAGCAATATAATTCCAGATTATAATTTTGGATAAGGGAGGGTGAAATTCAATTCCTTCCACAGTCCTTCCTTTCATAAGAAATATGGACTGCAAATAATTTAAGTAATATAATTTTAGATTATCCTTCAGTTATTCTAAGTTTAATCAGCAGAAAAATACAGTCAGATAATTCTACTAGTTTTACTGTAATCAGTACGTTCTTTGCCAAAAAATTGATGAACTAGTTAAACTACAATAACTCATCTCTTTTTTTTCAACTTTCGAGATTTATTATTCCTGAAGGATGGAGGATATACGTTTACATGCGAGAGATTAACTATGATCCACATCTTTATCCTGATCCATTAACCTTCAATCCATGAAGATGTCTGGTTCGTAATTCTAAATCCTAAAACTGAAATTTTTTCAGTCCACTACTGTTTACAAACATGGAATGGAAGTCTTTTAACTTTTTCCCAAAGTAATTAATGTTCTAAATCAACAAATGCAGGACAAAAGCCCAGAGTACCAAAACTATTTCTTCATATTTGGAGGAAGGGCTAGGTAGTGTCCTGGAAAGGAGCTTGGATTGGCAGAAATTTCTACATTCCTTCATTACTTTGTGACAAGATACAATTGGGAAATCAAATCTCATAAAAAATCCCTAAATCCCTAAAATCCCTAACTATCAATCCCTAAATTCAGTTCAAAACATTAGATTAACACTTAACAATCAATATTATAACCCATATTAATTTCATTTTCAGAGGAAAACTGTAGAACATTGGAAAATCGAAAAACTTCATTTACAAAATTAACAGTCAATACAAAAGCTCAATAAGTTACCTCGGTCCTCGGAGCTTGGAACTCATACTTGGAGTCGGAGTCGGAGACTGAAGTTGGGCTGCTTGCTTGGGCAGAGGAAGGGCGGACGCGGAGTCGGAGATTAAGGGCAGAGCTTTGAAGTCAAAACTGTGTGTGAGGTGTTGTGGTCGATTTTGCTGCCGGGAGAGAGACGGGGAGACGGGGGATATACTAGATAGTGGAGATGGGAGATTGGAGTGGACTCAGACTTAGTGGAAACCGGGGGAGAGGTGGAGACAGGGAGGAGATGGGGAGAAATTAGGGATTTGAGGTTTGGATACAATTTTTTTTCCTTTATATATTAAAAAAAAAATCTTCAAAATCTTGGGGGGTGGGTGGGGCACGTGCCCACCCAGGCCACCCCCCAGGTCCGCCGTTGACCATGGTGTGAATATAATTATCCTAAAAAAAATCCTAGTTAATACTTGAAGTAAATTACATGAACCCCCCAGGTCCGCCGTTGACCATGGTGTGAATATAATTATCCTAAAAAAATTCCTAGTTAATACTTGAAGTAAATTACATGAACCTAAAGAAAATTTCTTAACAATTTCTAACCGTTTCTGTAACACCATCTTCCTTTTAAAATTTCTTAACTTTTACTTTTAAGTTTCGAATAAGACATAGTTTTCCTGAGATTTATGAAAAATTCAGAGATACTCCTCCATTTTCAAAAAATTACACAACCTGCCCTGTCTCACGATTTGAGTAACACATACTCCCACTAAGCACTTTTCTTTCATATTTAATCCTTATTTTGGCAGAGGTTAAAATCTAGATTTTAGTCTAAATCAATAATTAATTTTAACTATATAATTCATGTGATTCATAACATTTCAACTACATATTTCATCAATTTTTATAAAAAATTACTAAAATTCTAATTTTAATCCAGGGGTTTAGCATAAATAAGAATGTTAATACATAAAATGCAATTACGATCTTTCTTTCATTTTATGACTTCTTTAGTAATAATGTAATACACAATATACCTTTTTAACACTTATAACTAAATCAAAAACAAAATATTATGTAGACCATCAATTCTGAAAAAATGCTACAATATTTAATTAATTTAAAAATTATATTGAAAACACAAGATGGAGGGATTCTAGTTTTGATTTGTCTTAAATGAGTACTTGAAAATTTGATAATTGTAAGCATATTGTTTTCTTATTTGAAGGTGATAAATAACATGATTATATTTTTCAAGTATTTATAGATTAACAAATTTTTAATTTAGTAGTTTTTTTTTTTTTCCTTTAATAGAGAGTTGACAAGAAAATGAAGTTATTAAATGATTGATCAAATGGAGTTAAAACGAACATTGCAAATATGTTACTTCTTATAAGTATTTTGTTATATTTTATACAAAGTGGTTGATTTGCATCCAAAATGAAAAGTATATTATTTTGACCGTGCTCGTTACTTCACTATACGTAGATGTATTTTGAGTATATCAGTCAGATTATTTGTTAATGTATTTTTGAAGAATGTATAGTCTAAAATAATATATTGATGTTAATTTAGTCGAAAGTGTAACTGCGTATATATTTTAGGTATTACATTATTCTTAAAGGGGCCATAAAATAGAAGAAAGTTCGTAATGATATTTCATGCATTATCTATGTTATTTATGCTAACATGTGAAAGAAAAGTGATCAATGGATGTATGTGTTATTCATAACTTGAAATAAGAGAGGTTTGTGTAATTTTCCAAAATAAAGGGTGTCACTAAAATTTTTATAAACTTCAGGGGAGGTATACTTTATTCGAAACTTGAAATAATTGACGCTCGCATTATTTTTAGAAAGAGAAGGATGTCTCTGAAATTATTATAAACCTTAAGAAAGTATTCAAAACTTAAAATAATGAGAGTTTTTGTAATTTTTAAAAATAGATGAGGAGTCTTTAAAATCATCATAAACCTCTGGAAAGATATCTGTAAATTGCCCTAATACTCATGAATAAATCAACCGTTAGACTAGCCATTTGAATTATTTGGTTCTAGCATGACCTTGACAACCATTATAAAAAGATTTTTTTTTAAATTTATTTTGGGAGAAAAATGAGTTTCAAAATAATAATTTTTTGGAGAATGTGTGGTTAGAAAATAAAAAATATTTTGAATTTACTTGCAAAATATTTTACTATCAGAATGTGTGATGAAAATAAGCTTAAAAAAAATCGTAAAAATGTTGTCAAACAGGAGCATAATCAAATTCTAGCCCATTGCATCTTGAACATTTGACCTAATCTTTTATTTATTTTTCTTGCGTGAGAATTCTCGATTCTTCAAACATAACATCACCTTATATAAATAGCCAGATTATGAACTCTGTTACATGTACAAAAATTTTGTACAAATCTGTATAATTAGGTCAACTACTGAAATTGGAGAGACTGTTATCGTTAGGTACTACATTATAAGCACATTGGGGACGTAAATAATTGAAATAATATACATACAAAAAATAAAATGATAGCAATGGAATATTAATCTTTAAACTTTAAAATTTTTTATTCCCCCATAATCAAAGCCCAAAGAGTTATGAGTTAGTCCATGCTTCTTTCAACAACATCAATTTGAAGCATGGAGACCATCTCATGCTTTTAGGATAAATAAATTACATAGTTATGTTTTTCATTTAGATTTTATAACCTTATTTAAACCTACTTGAAGATCACGTTGTATTGTTTATCTCGTAGTATTAAGATCAACGAAATCTTAGATTACTTCGGAGTACAAAAGTTGCCAATTTTAGCTCAATATTCTTGTGATGGAATTCATAATAAAGATTTTCGCGCTAAACTTGGTATATATCCAAGTAGCTATGTATTTTAGAAGCATTGCAATTTCAGATTCTTTTTGTTCTTTTGGATGCAATACGTTATACTCTTTGGGAGGTAACGACTAATACTTAAGCAATCACACACGGATGACTTACATTTACTGGAAGATTCAAAGAAAATATTAGCCCTGTTTGAGCCACATTTTCATTCTCATTCTTCTACTCATTTTCAATCATACATTTTTCAATAAAATAATATTTTCGATCACATCAATAACTTTTCTTTCTTTTTCAACCACATATTCCTTATCACATCACATAAAAAAAAAAAAGGTATTTTTTTTCATTTTAATGTGTATCAAACACACTCCTAAAAACGACACTTCATTATTAAGAAAACAAGATGCCCAAAAAGGACATTTTAGTGCCATGTCCTTCCACATTTATTTTTGCCTAAAACCATTTATTGCAACCTCAGTACCTCACTCACACTCTAGTGGCATATGAGAATTAAAATATAAACCTGCAATAATATGGACCAGCAAAGTCCAACAACTCTTACATTACTGGGTTGTCATCGGAATCAGAATCGTCAATCAGGCGTTTCTTGTCATCGGACGAACAATAGTCCCTGATGGCAGTGAGTTCATGGGGTGACCTATCAGTGGCTAACCACTGTTCTACAGTAAAATTTACCTGGGTACAACTCTTGTGAACCCCAGTGGTGGTCACCTCCACGTAGTTAACGTACCACCCGTGGTGTGGGCCAGACCCGTCGGAGGTGAGGTTCATCGAACAAATCGGTCCAGTTAAACATGGGCCTCTCCCACTAAAGATATCCAAGTTTCCCCTCTCAAAATAGTTGTAATCTAGGCCCATAAGCCCACCCCATGACTCGATATTGTTGATTCTAATTCCATAGCCATACGCATCATACAGAGTCAAGCTGATAATTGAATCAGTGCCAGCCCTAATGATTGAGCCGGTTCTTATATACACCGTGTATACACAATCTGGATCATCCTGTATTTTTAAATCAGAAAAGAAGAAAGATATAAGATTTAGAAAGATCGTTAATTCAAATTCAACCTACTAAACATGTAGCTAATATCGGACCAGTTCGAGTAAACTAGATTCGGAATAGTAACTTACTGATTTACAGATGGAGAAGATGGATATGAGGATAAAGAGATGAAACCAAAGGTTGAATCTTGAAACTTCCATGGCATCTTAGGATTTTCTGTATAATTTTCTAGTTCTAACTCTCTAAATACACATATCAGTTTTGTCAACTGATATATACACGAGGGTATGGACCCAGTCACTGTGAACCATTCATCTTTGAGAGGGACCTGGTTTTTGAATGCAATCACCAGCTGTCCATCATTTATTGAAGAAAATAGGCAGGCCGATGGATAAAGCATTGAACAGATATATGAAGGCCACCTAACAGAGTTTAGGTAAGGAATTGGGAAAACTTTATGTAAAAAACAGTTTTTGTGTGCATTATTGACAAAAGGATTTGGATATTCGAACCTTCGAGGCATATTATAATATCGTCACGTGTGACGAAAAGAAAATGAAAAAGAAGAGTATATATAAGAGAAATTCCTTATCAATGTCAACAATTAATTTTAACTATATATTTTATGAGATTCACAATTTTTCAACTACATATTTTATCAACTTTTATTAAAATCTAATTAAAAAAATCTAATTTTGATCCTTGGCAAAATATGTGGTAGGCAGAGCAGGG